AGTGTCGGAAAATTTAAATTTCGCGCATTCGCATTTCCGGATATGTCCGCCATCAGAGGCCACTTTTTTGGACTCCTTTTCATAAGGATTAGATTCCCTCTTTTGTCTTATTGCTCGATGTACTACACTCATCTCGATTTTTCAAGTTACACTAAGGGCCGGTTCTACAATGCTAGTATATACTGAGAATAAAGTTATACTTGGAATAACTTCATTAATGGTGTTCTACAAACAAAGAATAAACTAGGAATAAGATAATCGGAGTATATCTGTAGAATAACTTTATCCCTCCGAAGTTGAGCAGATATACCGAGTATAAATTTATACTGCATTTCTATTGGTCAGTCAGGGGTTGTCAAATCTGTAATATTTTAACCTCACTTTATGCCATTCAATTAACTGTGGTTTTGTTTGTTTTTATATATGAAATAAAATTTTTGATATGGATCCAATTAATATTATTATTTTTGAATCTGATGATGAAGATTTTGAAGAAGGAATACCTAGGCTAAGGCATCCAAAAACTTTTAGAATCCGGTATGAATTAAGATATATATTTATGTAGCATTTGAAGTTTTAACAAAATTAAATTTTTTAGAACAAATTATTTTGAAGAGTATGACGAATTAGAATTCTTCACTCGTTTTCGTCTACAGAAACATACCTGCAGAATTTTATTGCACCAAATAGAAGATAGAATATTGTCTCAGACTGATCGCAATCATGCCATATCAGCAGCTACTAAACTGCTACTAACTTTAAGGTTTTATGCTTCTGGTTGCATGCTAATAGCAGCTGCAGATTTTGTAGGTGTTAGTAAAACATCTGCTTGTGTAATTGTAAAGCAAGTAACGGAAGCAATATGTACTTTACGAAACACATACATAAAGTTTCCTGCTACAGAAATGGAACTACAGGAGTTGAAAGAAAAATTTTATAATATCGCACGATTTCCGTATGTACTAGGCGCAATAGACTGCACCCACATTCGGATCCAATCACCAGGTGGAGATCAAGCTTAACGATATAGAAACCGAAAAGGATATTTTTCTTGGAATGTTCCGACTGTATGTGATGCAGAATTAAGAATAATGGACATAGTGGTGCGGTGGCCAGGATCAACACATGATCAAACAATTTTTAATAACTCTAGATTAAAATCTCGCTTAGTAGAAAGAGAATTTGGTGCAAATTCTGTTCTACTGGGCGACAGTGGATATGGTATTACAAATTATTTAATAACACCTCTAGCAGCTCCAAATACACCTGCAGAAATGTTATTTAACGAGTCACAGATCAGAACGAGAAACTGTGTAGAAAGATCTTATGGAGTGTGGAAACGTAGATTCCATATTTTATCATCAGGTATCCGAGTGTCCCCTGAAACTTCCCAGGCTATTATCGTAGCAACTTCAATTTTGCATAACTTAGCAATAAATGAAAAAGATGGTGAACCGCCAAACGAGGGGCATATTAATGAAGAATTGCATGAAAATAATATATTAGAAAATAATGACGTCTACATAAATGAAAATAACAGAATGCGAGCATCAATTATAAATAATCATTTTGTGAATTTGTTATAATGAAATATGAATCTTTTAAAATAAAATTGTTTTGGAAAAAAAATTTAATTTCGATACATTATTAGTAGCCCGATCAATGAATATTATAAAATTTTGCCAAAGCAAAAACATAAATCAAGAACGAAAATTTGGGAACAGTGAGCAGAAACTGTCTATTAATACATAAATAAAAGTTTACAATCCTAAAGTACCTTTATTTTGAAAAAAAAAATAACATTGTTGATTTTTCATATATTGAGCTATATTTCGTAAAATAATGAAAAAATTAGATAAAGACAAAAAAAGATATTGTTGAAAGAATTTCGAAAAGTGCACTTAAAAATGAAAATCAAAAATATTGATATCCTTTAATACAACACAAAGCAAATTTTATACGCTTACATAATTTATTTATTACTTACATATTATATTATAATTTACTATACACATTCATTCATATTAAAAGTAACATTTTGTACAACATATTTAATATAGGTTTGTTCCAGCAAAATCTTGAACTGATTCAATATTTTCATCATTATGTCTTTATAATTGTATGTAGAACCTAGCTTTTCATATCTATCACCATCCTCAACCTATCATGCACAAAGATATCAATGTTCTATGATTAAAAACAATTTGAACATCATCAAAAAAAAGCATTTATTATTTCAATTCTAAAATTTTAGGATATGTATGTAATGTAATAACCTCTACACATATTACTAATATAGTATAGGTATAATCTTACCAAGGCAATATATTTTTTAATGTTTTGATAAGAGACTGTAATTCTAGAATCTGTATTATATAAACATTTCTTGAACTAGAATTATATATTTTGTAATCCAATATTTATGCTTGTTTAAAATGTGGAGTACCTATGATATATTTACATAATTTTGGCTATTATATTACAACACTAATCTCAGTTGATGATAATAAAAAATTTAAAGTGATAAAAATTTTAATGATTTTATATACAATATTCCAAAAATTTGACTACTATAAAGAAATAGTAAAATATACAATGATGTACATGGTTGTCAAAATAGTATTACAAAAAGCCTGTCAAAATCAGGCTGTTGAAAGTAAAAGTGTAAATAAATAATGTAATAAGAACAAAAAGCCCAAGGAAAAAAAGTTATGAATAATGTCATATAAAGAGGGTAAAACCAAGGAGTTCATAAAAGGTTTTTGATTTTCCTACAGCACCCAAATTAAAATTGAGAAACCATCAGTTAGAAAATAACTTAAGTACAGAAACAGTTGCAATATATTTGAGATACAATAAAATGTTACAATATAATATCACTATTTTATTGATTCAGTAATCTTGTCTTGTCTGAAAATGTTTGCTGGAACAAACCTAATATAATATAATGTGAGTCATGAGGAACTATACATACTCCTACCTTGTATGGAAACCCCTATGGGAAATAACAAGTAAATAGTAAAAAGTGCACGGGGAGTTGTGATTTTATAAAAAACTTGATATTCCAGTTTGTCTAATTTGTAAAAATTTTGTTAAAGTTTTTAAAAATCATAGGTTTAGATTTTTTCATGAACAGAACAAACTATTTTTTTTTTAAATCGGACCTTACTTTATTTCTAGTTTAAATGTGATGTTTAGTGACAGCAGTGTAATGTTTGACCAAAATATGAGACACATCAAATTTACAATTCAAAAGCTATGATGAATAGAAATCAGTCAAAATTGACAACTTGCCCTGTATGTTATTAAACAATGAGAGCAAAACTTTTTAATGGTCAGTTGTTATTCCCTATCACTCACGTAGAACCTCCAACATTTGAAGTGAAAGACGCAATCACACGACTCAAAAATAGCAAGTCCCAGGAGTGGATTGTATCCCCGCAGAGCTCATCAAACATGGAGGTAACAGCATTATGCACCAAATTCACAACATAATAGTCAAAGTCTGGGAAGAAGAACAAATGCCAGAGGAATGGTGCACTGGAATCATATGTCCACTACACAAAAAGGGAGATTTGTTGGAGTGTAAAAATTATAGGGGTATAACTCTTCTGAATACAATGTACAAAATATTCTCCAATACCCTGTACAGCCGTTTAAGTACGTACGTGGAAGAAATCCTTGGTGAGTATCAATGCGGTTTTAGGCCAGGTAGGTCAACAATCGACCAGATTTTTGTGCTACGTCAAATCTTAGAAAAAACCAATGAATTTAATATTGACACGTTCCATCTCTTTGTGGACTTTAAGTCAGCGTATGATAGCGTCCTAAGAGGTAAATTATACGAAGCCATGAATGAACTTAACATTCCCCATAAATTAATAAGGCTCGTAAAAACAACTATGAGTAAAGTGATCTGCAGAGTGCAAATACAAGGCGATATGTCACAAGCGTTTGAAACATATGCAGGGTTACGGCAGGGAGACGCGCTGGCGTGCCTTCTCTTTAATATAGCGTTAGAAAAGACTATAAGAGATGCCGAGTTACACAATAGGGGAACAATCTTTAATAAATCAACGCAGATTATGGCTTACGCTGACGATCTGGATTTGATTGCACGTACTACACGAGGACTTAAAGAGATGACTTCCGCCTTCTTGACAGCCGCACAAAATATGGGCCTTAAAATAAACGAGGAAAAAACCAAAATGTTAGCATCTATTCCAAATAACAGAGATAGAGCTAGAAACGCCGAACAAAACTTCAGTATAGACCAATATAATTTTGAGGTAGTAACTAAGTTTACATATTTGGGTTCTCTCATAACAAACGATAATGACACATCCGAAGAAGTTAAACGGAGGGTACTGCTAGCAAACAAATGTTATTTTGGACTAAGCAAGCAGCTCAAAAACAGAAATTTAAGCCAGAAAACCAAACTAATAATATATCGAACACTCATCCTACCAGTGCTGACATATGGGTCAGAAACATGGACCATCTCCAAAACAGACGCAAATCTTCTGCTCGTCTTCGAAAGGAAGATACTAAGAAGAATAATGGGCGCATTCTGTGAGAATGGTATTTGGAGAAGGCGATATAATTTCGAATTGTACGAGAAGTATAAAAAAATAGTAAATGGTAGAGATGTAATATCCTTTATAAAAATAGGTAGGCTTAGATGGGCTGGACATGTGTCAAGAGCAAATGAAAATTACCCACCCAGACGAACTCTATTATCGGTCCCAGTGGGAAATAGGAGTAGAGGCAGACCACGACTGAGATGGAGGGACGGTGTGGACGAGGACGCAAGGAAGATCGGCGCGGCAAATTGGCAACGGTTGGCGATGAACAGAAACGACTGGCGAAATAGACTGGGGAAGGTCAAGGCTCAACTAGAGCTGTAGCACCAATGATGATGATGATGATGTTATTCCCTATAGGGTCCTCCATATAAGGTTGGAGTATGTGCTGTATTACCCTAGTACTAAGTAAATATTTTACACTTTATTTCTCTTATTTCTCAACTCCTGTTTTAAAATTTGAATTTCTAATTTATGCTTTTCTGCTAATCGCTCTTCCTTCTTTTCTGCTTCTTTCTGTAGTAATGCAATTTGAAAATCTATATATTCTATTTTCTTCTTTGCCAGTTCCTCGTGTATAGAATAATTTGTATTTCTCTTCTGTTGCAACTGGGATGAAATAGCTTGCTTCCCCAACTTGCGTTTTCGTATGTCTGTAAATTTTAGCTATAAACAATATATCTGATCTTACATGCATAGCATGGAAAAAATAAATATATAATTGTATGTACATACTTTTTGTTTCACGTTCTTCAAACTTCTTTGGTAACTGGGCAGTTAGAAGTTTATCTCCATTTTCTGGAATTTAGAACATAACTTATTATAATATCAGTAATTGTATCAGTACAAATGCTAACCTTCAAATACTTTATTTTCCTCAATTGGAAGTTGTAAGGCTGGATGTTTGGCACTTCTCAATTGAGATGGGTTCCAAGAATCCCACACTTCACTTGGCTATAAATAAACAGAAAATAAATTCAAAGTTTAATTAATTTTTACTGTAAAAATTTACTGACCGTTACATCAACAATTTCTGCAGCTACCTCAATTGAATTATCTAGAATTTCCTCTACTGGTAAAATTCCATCCTGTATTTGTTCAATATCTGGCCTGATATTCCCTGTAAAAATATTTCAACAATAAGTAAAAACTTATAATATCTTACAATGCAAGTATTACCAAAATCTGAATCAAATTTGCAAGATGTACCAGTTACTCCCACACCAACAATAGCCAGCACCCTATTACTAACACCCGATAATTTTATGTCAGATTCTTCGGGACCGCCACCAGTTTTATACAAACTCTGCTTCAAACTGGCATATTGTTTCTTTGTGGTTTTCTTTAAAGACTCCCACTTGCTTCGAAGCATTTTAGGTGTCCTTCCCGTACCACAATTAGAATTAAATTGTATGGATAATTTTACCCACTCATCATCTTTCATGGCACTTGTTGTTTTGTCAGTTTTCTTACATTCTAAAAATAAAATTAAAATAAATACTTAACCCATAGATACATATTTTTTTTACATACCTATTATTTCTTTGTGTTCTTCAACTAAACACACGAGCATTTCAATTTCTGAATATGTAAAATTATTACACCTTTTTTTATCCATTTTATATTAATTTTGGAAAGTATAATAATATAAACATAGATAAAATACCAAATAATGGTAATCAATTCCTTTCAATTGTAAACAAATTTTACAGTTATGACAAATGCCAAATGTCACTGTCAATAACAATTTGAACTAATTTTGAGGATATCAGATCTACTATTTCGTTTTACCTTAGTGTTCTGTGGTTATACCCAGAATAACTATTCCGCTGTCGATTTCACAATGTAGAACGCTCGAAAGGTTATACTTGGAATAAACTCAAGTATAAGTTATACTCAGAATAACTATTCTCTGATTTATACTTTGATTGTAGAACCGGGCCTAAGGGCCGGTTCTACAATGCTAGTATGAGAATAAAGTTATACTTGGAATAACTTCATTAATGGTGTTCTACAAACAAAGAATAAACTAAGAATAAGATAATCTGAGTATATCTGTAGAATAACTTTATCCCTCCAAAGTTTAGCAGATATACCCAGTAAAAATTTATACTGCATTTCCATTGGTCGATCAGGGGTTGTCAAATCTGTAATATTTTAACCTCACTTTGTTTGTTTTTATATATAACATAAAATTTTTGATATTGCACAAACATTTTAGATTGTAAATGCAAAGGAAATTTTATTAGGCAATCCAAAGGAAAAAGAAAGCATTTATTATTTCAATTCTAAAATTTTAGGATATATATGTAATGTAATAACGTCTACACATATGACTAATATAGTATAGATATAATCTTACCAAGGCAATATATTTTATAATGTTTTGATAACAGAGACTGTAATTCTAGAATCTGTATTATATAAACATTTCTTTAACTAAAATTATATATTTTGTAATCCAAAGTTTACACTTGTTTAAAATGTGGAGTACCTATATAGATATATTTACATAATTTTGTTTATTATATTATAACACTAATCTCAGTTGATGATAATAAAAAATTTAAGAAGGAAATTTTACATCTTTTTTATCCATTTTATATTAATTTTGTACAGTATAATAATATAAACGTAAATAAAATACCAGATAAAGCGAATCAATTATTCAATTCCTTTCAATTGTAAACAAATTTTACAGTTATGACAAATGCCAAATGTCGCTGTCAATAACAATTTGAACTAATTTTGAAGACATCAGATCTACTATTTCGTTTTACCCATCGAGCAAAAAGATAAAAGAGGGAATCTAATCGTTAGGAAAAGGAGACCAAAAAAGTGGCCTCTGATGGCGGACATATCCGGAAATGCAAAGGCGCTAAATTTAAATTTTCCAACACTTATTAACAATAGCTATAAAATATTTTTCAGTCGAGAAAGTTTTAATTAAATATTAACTGCAATAGTCTAAAAAGTGACACAATTGGTAAAAGATTTCAATATAAATAAAATTTCATGTGACAGTTGGGACAAACAATAACATAACCTAACTAAATTTGACTTCTTAAACAATGAAAGAGACTGTCTTTCCTTGTTTAAAGTGGCCTCTCAAGATAGCACTTCCTGTCTAACAATATTTTTGTCCCCACTACCTTTACATTCCCTCTTTTATCTTTTTGCTCGATGGTTTTACCTTAGTGTTCTGTGGTTATACCATCGAGCACAAAGATAAAAGAGGGAATCTAATCGTTAGGAAAAGGAGACCAAAAAAGTGGCCTCTGATGGCGGACATATCCGGAAATGCAAAGGCGCTAAATTTAAATTTTCCAACACTTATTAACAATAGCTGGAAAATATTTTTCAGACGAGAAAGTTTTAATTAAATATTAACTATAATAGTCTAAAAAGTGACACAATTGATAAAAAACTTCAATATAAATAAAATTTCATGTGACAGTTGGGACAAACAATAACATAACCAAACTAAATTTGACTTCCAAACAAGGAAAGAGACTGTCTTTCCTTGTTTAAAGTGGCCTCTCAAGATAGCACTTCCTGTCTAACAATATTTTTGTCCCCACTACCTTTACATTCCATCTTTTATCTTTTTGCTCGATGGGTTATACCCAGAATAACTATTCCGCTGTCGATTTCACAATGTAGAATGCTCGAAAGGTTATACTTGGAATAAACTCAAGTATAAGTTATACTCAGAATAACTATTCTCCAATTTATACCTGGAATGTAGAACCGGCCCTTAATAGGATTTTTGGCCCTTGCAAAACAGCATATGAAGTGATAAGAAGAATTCACTTCAGCACAAATTGATACCTGAAGTAGTATATACAAATATCGTGTGTCTATACATCTGGCAGGCAAATAGATGCTTTCTTAAAATATTTTATAAATATTATGGATGGATAGGAGATAGTCCATTCTCACAATGTTAGGTAGTTTTTATTGTAATCAAATTGTAGGCTACCAGTTTTGAATCAAGCCACAGTACAAATGTCTTTGTTTTAATAAAAACCAAAAGCTAAAAACAGCATGAAACAAACAATGAACACACAATACTAAGAGTTAGTAGTAAAAAAAGTCAGTACAATGTTCAATCACAAATTAACCCCTTAATTTGTAATCTCACATTATTCTTAACTTCTTAATCTTTTATAGTTTCACCGTGTATAAGTTTGCATTATACATATTGCAAAACCATATCGTATGATAATTTAATTAGTTCATTTACCTACAACTAAATAAATTGCCGAATAACAATATTTTCTAATTGAATTTCCCAAGTGTCGCAATTAAGGCGTGGATTAAATTGTATTATAAGCAAAGTTTGGTTGTATGGTATAATAGAAAGCAATGACCTATGTGCTTAGGTGTGAATTATTTGTGAGATTATAAATTGGGGATTTGAGTTCAAATGAACACAGTCAATATTGAGTAGTTACCGAACGAACACCATATTGTGTAATTACGAGTTGCTGTCAATAAATAATCACCTTTACTCCACAACTTCAACATTTATTAACCCTACCAGCATCGATCGACGAGAAGCGGACAAAGGGGCACTACGAACCGAACCGAACTTCACTACTAAGTTTTCGATATTTTTCCATTGGTCCTTCGAGCCGGATCTGAACCAGCGACCTATGGATAGCGGTTTCCCAGTTCCGTACAAGATCGACGATCGAATTCGAAGTGTAGAGAAAAGAAAAAAGAAATAAAAAAGACCAGAAAGCACCGAAATAAGGGGTAGGAGCCTTACGAGAGCCTTTGATCACCAGAGAACCTTAATAGCAGTCCTTAAGTCTACTATTCCAGCAGTTTGGATGTCCAGTTTCCAGCAGAAAAATCCAGTAGCATCCAGAGATCCAGCTCACCAGTTCCAGTTGCAGTTCTAAGAAGGAAGCAGGAACATACAAGTGAACGTCGGGATAAAACTGTAAGTTTTTGAATATTTATTATCATTTAGAGCAGTGCATTAACTTAATACATTAAAAAGATTATTAAAGAAACTTAAGATTCAAATTGAATAATACTTATTTGGAAATATTTTATTCTGCATACTTTTTTACTTAAAATAGTAATAGTTTGTCTACAGCTAATTCAAATCTAATAGCTTAATTATTTTAATTTTAATTATATTCGATAATTTTGATTCTTATAACTTAAAATTCTTAAAACATTTGATTTTCATAATATAGGGAAATATCGTGACAAATCGTTATTTTTATACACATTCAGAGTTCATTCATTCCAAATATATAGTATTTTGTAGTATTTGCATTTTTTATATAAAGAATTTCTTTTCTCTCTAGTTACAAGTGATAATATTACATTATTTAATTTGTACTATATAGCCGTGTCACAAAGGTTAGACAAGAGGTCATTTTGCGTTATTGTCTAAGGTAATCTTGCTGACACTAGTTTAAAAGTTGAAATTAGGTCAAACTTATATTCGTTTAAAATGGAACGATTATATTTAGATCAGGAAAAGCTAGGTCAAGAAATTACGAAGCTTTTAAATAATTTGCGAAAACTACGGAAAGAAAAACGAACGAGAGAATATTTAAACATTAAAAGACAGACACTTGATGAATTGTGGAACGACTTTGAAGATCAAAACACAGAAATTGAAGAGAAAGGTTCGAGAGTTGATAAATATTTTACATCTAACTTTTACGAACAAGTACAAAAAAGATATGAAGAAACGAAAAAGATTTTAGAGGAATTTATTAAAAATTCGTACAAGTCTTCGACAAAAATTAGAGAAAATAGAAATTAGGATGGGAAAACTTCATCATTTATTGGAAGACGACGAAACCGATGAAGATTTACAAGAGGATTTAAAAGAAGAAGTACAAAAAATAGATACATTAATAATGGAAATAACTGTGGACAATGAACAGGATGCACTAGAAGAAGGTGAAATAGAAAGATTTTATACAATGAAAAGAAGGGTGCGGTCGATCATAAAAGAAAATAAGAGATTAGAGGCGGAAGGATGCAAGAAAGACAAAATAATATTACCCCAAGTGAAGTTACCCTGTTTTGAAGGAAGGTATGAATCCTGGGTAACATTCTATGATATTTTTAAACGTTTGATACATGAGAATAATCAACTATCAAATGTGGAAAAAATGCAGTATCTGAAGACAAACCTCCGAGGAGAAGCAAGTAGAATAATACAACATTTAAACACAACAGAAGCAAACTACAGTGCTGCCTGGAAAATGTTGCAAGATCGATACGATAATCCAAGGATGAATCTATTTATATTAATAGACAAGATACTTCAGGCTGCGGAGATAAAAGAAACGTCAGCAAAGGCGCTGAAATCATTACATGATACTCTCCACGAATGCTTAGAAGCCATTAGTGGACTAGGTGTAATGACAGAGTCCTGGAGCCCTCTTATAGCAAGGATAAGTATGTTAAAGTGGGACACAGAAACCAGGAGATTATATGAAACGTCAATTCAAGACAGTAGGGACATTCCGACATATAAGTCAACACAGGAATTCCTACAAAGAAGATTCCAGACATTGGAGATGTTGGAAACAGAAAGGAAAGGAACAGATCATAGACAACAGGTAAAGAAGAAGATAACCTGTGTGGTGTGTCATGAAGAACATAAACTGTTGAAATGTACAACGTTTCTACGTCAACAAGTACGTGAAAGAAACAAAATCGTAAAGGAAAAGCAATGGTGCGGTAGATGCCTACTACACAAAAGGGAAGTACCATGTTATTCCTCTCATAGATGTGCAGAATGTGGTGGACAGCACCATTCATTACTACACATGTCAGAAGGTCAGCATGATAACAGAAGGAATTCTGAAAACAGAAGGCCACAGAATAGACCAAATTCTAGTGGGTGCCAGTATGACAACAGAAGGAATTCTGAAAACAGAAGGCCACAAAATAGACCCAATTCTAGTGGGAACAGAGGTGACAACAGTTACGACGGATCGTCAAGGAGACAAGAGAATGCCGTGAGCTGTTTAAGTCATCAGAATGAAGAAGTGCTACTTGCAACGGCATTAGTACGAGTAAGAGACTCAAAAGGAAGCTCACAATTGATGAGAGCATTGATTGACCAAGGCTCGCAGTCATCATTCATAACGGAGCAGGCCGCTACAAGTCTCGGAATAAAAAGAAAAGCTGTCCACGCTCAGATATCTGGAATTGGCAATGAAGACCAAAGGACGTCGAAATGGAGCGTAACATTAAACTTAGAGGCGCATTTCAAAAATGAATTTGAAATGAAGACCGAAGCAATTGGGCTAAGAAAAATAACAAAAAATCTACCGGAGAAAGAGATACAAATAAAAGAAAGGAACCATAGGAACTTAGTCCTGGCGGATCCAAATTTTAATGAAACAGGTTCAATAGATATTCTATTAGGAGCCAAAGAATATAGTTTGATATTACTGGACGGAGTAGATCGAACAAAGAATGGTTTGCTGGCCCAAAATACAAAATTGGGTTGGATAATGTCAGGGATAGCAGAGCAAGAGAATATCCCTAATATACAAGTGCTCAGCATGCTATCTAGACGACAAATGGATGAAGATAGAAAACAATACTGGAAGTTAGAAGAAGTAGATCAAAGCAATACTCTTTCAGTAGAAGAAAAAAAGTGTAAAGGATATTATAAAAGAACAGTAAAAAGGGATAACGAAGGAAGATTTGAAGTTAAAATACCCTTCAATTTTAGTACAAGCCTATTAGGGGGACTCACTACAGCAAGCATATGTGAAACTTCTGCAATTAGAGAAGAAATTTCAAAGAGACACGAATCTAGAAAAAGAAAAGGTGGTGTTGTGCGCTCGTTGTTGGTCCCAAGGAATCTACTTGCAGTAGATTACAATAACTTACACTAATTTTTTAAGTGAGATATGAAAATAAAGGAGGGTAGTCAGATATTTTCGAAACTCCAAGAGAGCCAGAAAACAAAGGCATCAAGGTTCTTACATCCAACCTCATCCAGCGCCTCGAAGACATACTTCATCACAACCAAATTTAGGTAGTACTTTAAAGAAAGCCCCTCCTAGATCAATTTCACTTAATGAGCTTAGATTTGAATTAGATAGTTTAGCTGAAACATGAATTCTAAATAATCAAATTATAGGTAGCACTGCTCGGGTGAGATAATAATTCAAAAACCGAGTGAATTAGTGTTATGATTATTGTTATTATTTTATATTTTACTTATATGTGTTTAAATATTTTCTATTGGTCGTCTGTTTGTTTTATATAGTGGCCAATATGTTCAATCACAAATTAACCCCTTAATTTGTAATCTCACATTATTCTTAACTTCTTAATCTTTTATAGTTTCACCGTGTATAAGTTTGCATTATACATATTGCAAAACCATATCGTATGATAATTTAATAATTAGTTCATTTACCTACAACTAAATAAATTGCCGAATAACAATATTTTCTAATTGAACTTCCCAAGTGTCGCAATTAAGGCGTGGATTAAATTGTATTATAAGCAAAGTTTGGTTGTATGGTATGATAGAAAGCAATGACCTATGTGCTTAGGTGTGAATTATTTGTGAGATTATAAATTGAGGATTTGAGTTCAAATGAACACAGTCAATATTGAGTAGTTACCGAACGAACACCATATTGTGTAATTACGAGTTGCTGTCAATAAATAATCACCTTTACTCCACAACTTCAACATTTATTAACCCTACCAGCATCGATCGACGAGAAGCGGACAAAGGGGCACTACGAACCGAACCGAACTTCACTACTAAGTTTTCGATATTTTTCCAACAAAATTAAAATAGATTATTCCAGCAACTATAACCTTAATTTAGTAGGAAAGTTGATATTATATATAAAATGGTGACTGAATAAGAAATGTAAATTTAATTTATAAGAGAATTTTCACAATATAAAATATATTGAGACATTAGTGGCAATGATTATAACCAGTCTGATGAAAACTGTACAATATAGTCAGTTAGCTGTTTATTTGATGGAGGGTACATAGAATTTAGATTAAAATTAAAAGTTTAAATTTAGATAAATTATATGAAAGAGTTACAACTTACATATTAGACACAAGAAGGCTCTTCTAGGATGTATAATATTGTAGCTCACCACTAACAATTCAATTTTTTAATACTAAAACTTATGTACTTAGATAGGGGGTATACGAAATTGGGAAAGGCGAAGTGGGGCATGGCACAAAAAATGTTGGGACACACTGGTATAGAGCATATCGATACCTTAGAACACAATAATTGTGCTATGTCCACTTTTTTTTTCTTAAATATAGGTGACACTAATTTATGATAAAATGATACAATAAATTTCCACTGCACAACCGATATATGTCCAAAAATAATCTAAAGTTAATTTAATAAAGTTAAATAAAAAAGTGTTATGTCCACCTTCGAATAGTAAAGGGGTGCACATATGTACCATGTCCACCTGATAGATCGTTTAGTGAACACTTGTGCTATGTCCGGACATAGAACGTTTGTGTTATCAAGACAATGACAAATATATTATTAATATAAGTTGTCACTGTGTTATTATTAAATTTGTACTGCTTACTTTGACTTATTGACTGTCGACAACAAGGCTCCGGCGTTTTGACCAATTCTTTTTATGTTTCGGCAACACGGCTCCCGCACTTGACATGAGTCTTTTATGGGTCTAATAGGTGGTCTAATATTCTGCCAGCAACAGAGTAACTGAATGTTTTTGTAGGTGGCACACAAAAAGATTAATAGTGTTTGTTTAAGTTGATATTTTAATTTTAAAATTTCTGGACGCATCCATAGAATTATGTCGATGTGCAGAGATATAAGGTTTTCAAATGAAACAACTGAAAATAATTATGTCGATTTAACCCCAATTCAAATCAATGGCAATGATATTGCAACTGAAACTTCGGGTATGTTTTTAGCTGGTATAATAATATTTATAATTAATTCCGATTCATAAAAATTATTAATAATGATATTATCAACCATAATATTATGGTTTATTATAGTAGATCTATCAGATTTCTGTTATATTAACTTTTGGTTAATTTGTGTGTTTTATTTTTTTGAAAAATTTATACTTTATTCAATGACAATTTTTTTTCGTGACTATATTCGTTACTTTAAACTGTTTTATTTAGGTAATACTGAAGAATCCTTGACAAATATCATTACTCATGAGGAAAGCGTAGGAAATGTTGTTGACGAAGGGCTAGATCTTGAAATCATTGTACAACGAGAAGAGGAATATTATTGTAATTTTGAGAGTAGGTTCCTTAAACTTTACATAAAGTTTTTTTTAAAACTCATTGCAATACATACGAACATGTCAGATTTATTTATTGCAAGATCTTACAAAGTACTTTATTATAGATACATGTTGTATATAATAGATGAGAAATAGGTACATAGGTACCAACACAATTTAAAACGATAGTGCTCATGATCTATTGAAGTTGGTTAAAATTTATCCAGGGCAAAAATGTAAAAACCCAAAATTTCCAAAATCATATTCAACTGAACTGAAAAATGCTATTCTGAGAAAAAAAGTAACTCATAAAAAAGTCAAACATACTAATACTTTTTCTGACTATAAACTATTCTCAGACATTCGTAGTGAATGTAAAGTCTTAGCTGAGCAATGTAAAAGTCAAACCATAAAAACTTTGAAAAATCTGAAATACTGAAAAAATCTTTTTAAAATACAATGTAGGCTGTCAGTGTAAACTGTCATTTAGGTATTTATTCTATTTATTTGTCTTGTGTAAATTGTATGTAATTATTATTGAATTCTAAAACTGTTAATATGATATGATTTATTTAATGATTGTAATTATTGTAATTAGTATAACCGTAAATAAACTATTTATTTATTTATAATTATTTTTTGTTTTGTTTTTCTTGTAAAGATATAAGTGGGCTTGCAGTTTTCTTAATAATGGGTTTTACTTGTTGAGGGTGCTGTTCAGGATATTGATATAATCTTAAATGAAAATACTGTTGAGGACATTTGGGACCCTGATACTGAAGGAAACCCAAGTTTCATTCCAGAGAATGTTTATGACAAAGATCCAACTTTTACTCCTGAGGATGATGACGAAGATAGCTCAAAGGCTAATATTAATCTTGAAAAAGAAAAGTTGGAAGGTATCTATAACTTTTCAGTTATTAGTAAGACTATTTAAGTATTATTAAACTTTGTTTTGACTACAATAAACTTCGTGGTTTTTAGATGACATGGAAATAGTCGCTCAAGAAAACAAGGAAGTTCCTGAGAAAGGAACCTTGGGAAATGATATTATTACTGTTTCTTCACGCAAAAGAAGAAGGTTTGCTGAACCCAAAAATTGGAAAAGCAACATAATAAAACAAAAAAGATTAGCGCTGGGGAGGCATATATTAACAGAAACAATGAAGAGGTTCATGCCAAGCAAGTAAATCTAGATGATTGCAAATGTCGGTTTTAAATGTAGACTTGCCATAAGTATTGAACAACAGAAACTATTATTTCGAGAATATTGGAATTTGAGAGATTCATCTAGACAGAAGAACTTTCTATGCTCCATAATATAAGAAACAACTGTTGCCAGGAAACGAAACAGAAAAGTTGACCCTAATTTTAACAAAGAAGTCAGCAGAGCTTACACCCTTCCCAACAGTGAAAATGAAAATGTACGAGTCTGCCTTAAGTTCTTCTGTAATACTTTTTCAATATCAAAAAGAATTTCAAATGATGCTTTAAAATTTAAAAGCCCGAATGGCAACTATCATGGTTGTGCTAAGAGAAAAGGAAGACAAGCAAGTAACGCTACTCCACAAGCTCGTATTCGAGAAGTATTGTCATTTCTTTTGAAGTTTCCAAAGGTTCCATCACACTACTGCCGCCAACGCAGTTCCCGATTATACCTTGCTCCTGATCTTACCATTGAGAAAATGTATGACCTGTATAAAGAAGATGCTGGAGAACAAGCAGTGAAAAACAACATTTTCCAAAAGATATTCAGGGAACATGAACCTCCTTTAGTAATTTACAGACCAAAAAAGGATCAATGTTCCCTGTGCAATGAGGCACAGAAAACCAAAGAAATGAACACGAAAAAAGATGAGGATAAAAAAGCTGCACTGGACAATAAAGACTATTTACAGTAGTTTTGACCTTCAGGCAGTTATAACAATACCGTTTGCTGGGGATTGTCAAATTTATTATAAGCGGAAGCTTTCTTTGTTTAATTTTACCATATTTGATTCGCGTAATCAAGGGCACTGTTTTTTATGGGATGAGACACAAGGCAAAAAGGGAAGTGCCGAAATATCAACCTCTTTATTAAAGTACATTGAATCATTAGATCTAGATATACAACATCTAGTGCTCTACGCAGATACTTGAGGACGGCAAAATAGAAATCGCAATGCACTTGCAAGTATGTTTTACGCTGTGAACACCTCTAATTTAGAATTGATTGATATTAAATTTATGGAAAGTGGCCATAGCTACCTTGAGGCCGACAGCATTCACGCCACTATTGAACGATCTCGACATTCAAAAAATATTTACACCACCAATGAATATAAATTATTAATCGAACTTAGCAGGAAACATCCACATTTCCATACAATGTCCAGCAGCTAGCATATGACGACATTTATGACATAGAGGATTTGTCAAACAAGTTAGTGCAAAATAGAAACAAAGCAATTGATGGCAAAATATTAAACTGGCTAAAGGTTAAATGGTTCAGATTCGAAAAAAATGTTGACAAAGTTGGCTTCAAATAAGATGACGTGCGTAGGGAATTTAATTATATAACAATTAACTGTAAAGAAATTAAATGGGAAAATATTTCTTTAAAACGGAAATATCACAAACGCTTGAAAAATTCAATTGCAAAACAAGGGACTTGTTAAACATGGCCTTCTGAAACATGGCGTAATACCCCGAGAATACTCACTTTTTTATAACAACTTGCCCTCTGCTAGACGAAAGAAAGATGAGGCACTATGGAACCACAAGGAAGACGAGGATTCGGACTACTATTAATTTGGTTTATTAGTGTTTAATGAATGTATTTATAAGTTATGACTTCTACTTAATTAAAAAATATATATAACGCAAGTTTTGACTTATGTTTTACCTTTTATTTTATTCCCACTAGGTGTCACTATTTTAATTATTATCTTACTGTTATTTAAGCCTACCTGGAAATAATTATAATATAAATAAATGCATGATATTTAATGAATTTGAAGAATAAAGTAAAATTTGGGTTTATTTGGCCTTCTCACTGGTCACTGCCCTCTGAGATATCATCTCAAGAAGATGGGCAAATCAGATAGTGAGAACTGTCGTTTCTGTCACAATGAAAAAGAAACGGCAGAACATATACTATGCAACTGCGTAGCACTGTTCTGCAAACGACTAAAATTCCTAGGAGAGGTGAGTCTGGCGTGCTCTGACATAGGAAACAAGTCACCTAGGAAGCTAATCAACTTCATCAGAAGTATTGGCATTCTAGAGTTTAACTAGATTAAGGTATGCACAAAAGATCTGTATAGGTCGAAGTGCGGTGAGGCCGCACGGCCTTAACGACCTCACATAATCTATTCTAATCTAAGACTTTTTATAGAATATCAAAAAAAGTTAGTGAACAATCGTTCCATGTCCATAGTTGTAAAAGTCTATGTAGTACAAAGGTGATATGTCCATACAAATTTTAGTAAATCTTTAATTTATTGGAAAATCTTATAGAAATGACTCAAATCATTATTGTAATTATTTTCCTAAGATTGCATTGAGTTAGTAAAATAATTATTAAAACAAAATTATATGTAGCACATGAGTAATGCAATCTGCAAAACTTTATTTTGCATTTTCAAAAAATAGTACTTCGAGGACATAGCACAATTGTGTTCTAAGGTGTCGATATGTAATAACTTAATTCATGGTGAAAAATAATCTGTTAAATAGAAAATACATGAAAATTAACGTTGAGTGCACAATGTAATGCATTCATGAGTCACTAGCTGAAGCAGAATGCATTGATATATTATGTTTCACGTTCATAGAACTCCAATCCCTAAAATATAATAGTACCCCAGTATAGTACTCTCGACGTCTACTTACCACTTGAACTTGTTGGCCTTTCTTTAAATGACGTAAGTTTATGTTCCTCTTGTTTTATTTCAGTCTTTAAGGCTACATAACCAAATGTTTTACATGCACTTTCTTTTAGAGGTTCCTGTTTAATTTCAATTTTACAAATATCCAAAGGACCATCATCACCAACATTACAATATAATTCTGCTTGACACGTCTCATCACTAACTTCTTGTTTTACTTCCATTGTGTAAGTGTATATAAATAAACTTTGATTTTGTTATCAAAAATAATTTTGTAAACCTAAAACCAAAGAATATAGAGACGCTTATAGAAGAACAGTTCAAATGGGCGATTTGGTTACGGTTTATACGTCAAAACACTCCTTAAGAGGGTGGCTGCATAAACCCAAAGCGTGGTGCCGTGGCCGTCGGCTTAATGAAATATGTAGTTAGGGGGAAGTGGGAAAGGAGTACGAACCGAGCTATTTATGTAACTTTGCATCTACGCCTAAACAAATTTCGATGCCATTGATTTGCAAACTGTCTTTTTTTTTGTTTTTTCACAATAAAATCTTTAATTTTAATATATTAAATTGTTAAATTTTTAATTTTAAAACTTAAAAATGTATGATATTTACAATATTCAAAGTATTTATTTTTTTAATTTCATAACTTTGAATTAAAAATATTCATACACATATCCTACATTACGAAACACCGTCACATAACTTTTTATTATACTGTTTTTCTGCCCAAAAATTAACGAAACATTTGTAAAAAATTTCAAAATTTTTCAACCAAAAATTTAATTTTTTCAGGACTTTTCGTCAAACTTTTTAGATAATTTTTCAAATTATTTCATTGAACAAATGTCCTGTTCAAAAAAGTATTCAATGAAACTTTTTACTAAATTATGAAATTTTCCATTTCGCCGAAACTTCCATTTCATCCATAATTTTTTAATAAGAACAAAAAGCATTCCTGATTTATTTTTGAAATATTTAACAGTAACTTTTAATGAATAGTCTATGTGAAAGTTTTTACGCTGTATGGGCACTATTTAATCTTTTAAAATAACAACTAGTACTAAAACATAATTAACTAATAAAGGTATTAGTAATATTATTAAAAGGAAAAATAATATTATTTATAATATTAATGACATTCTGTGTATAACTTAAAATATAAAGCAGTGAAATAAAAGCATAAAAAAATTGAACAAATAGATAAGGTATTGAAGAAAATAATCTAAAAATTGTTATAGCTGAATGTATTCGCTCCGTGCGTGACCATGGTAGGGGTACCTTGAAACGATGTCAGCGTGCTTAGCGGCGAAATATGACCTAATTGGACCTATCTTTTTACGCATAAATTTTATCAAAAATGTGTACAAATACATGTTGCGTATTTAATTGTGCTAATAATAGCAAAAATATTGAGTGTAGTTTTTATAGGTTCCCAAAGATTACATATAAATTAAAGAAAAGAAAAAGATGGATTTGTGCTATTAGCATGAAAAAGTAAATATCACATAATTTCATTTTTATGCTATTGAAATAGGAAAAATTTTAATAATTTACCTTAAATAATATTTCATAAGGCTTCAAGCTAACTGCCTGATGACTTTAGCTTTTATATCATAACTTTTATTATTATTGTTTTTAATTATATGGTCTTTCACGTGAAAAACTTAATTTTCCAGTACTAGATTTTTCCATTTCTTTTCCGTTTGGGTTGAAAAGATATATTATGATGAATTGTGAGAAACCCAGTTTTAATACTACATTTATTTTGTACATAAACTGAAAAAATATAATTAAAAAAACTAATTATTAATAATTGTCAATTTCGCATGTATTTAACAATGTCAAACATATGTCATATGTTTAACCTGAAAATTGGGGGGTCCAAAACTGTCAGATGAATGCGGTAGGTGTCGCGTGAGTTACGCACGGAGCAAATATTTAAGAAATTTTTATTCTAAAATTGAAATTGCTTTTTTACATTATATATTGATGACCTATTGATAACTAAAAAATTCTAATAAACCGTTGTCGATGTGATTTACAAGAGTCGTCAATGATTAAAAATGATGGATTGATTTCATTTAATTTTTTTTATACCATTTAAAATCAACTTACTGACAATTTCCAAATAACAAACATTTTTAAACTTAACATCAAAAATATCAAGTGAAATATGTATTACTTCTGTAGGTACGCAAAGATTACCAAGTTTGTTAGTATTTTGAGAAACTTTATAAGCTTTAAAAAATAATAAAAGATCTGTCATTGAAATAAAATTAACATTTTTATGAACAAAATAATTTTCACACTTTTCACAATTAGTTTTTTTTAGACATTTGTATGCAAAATATCCGGCAAGGTACTTGAGTGAATTGAGATAAAGAGAAGTTGAGCCAGTCGAAGATGCATTATTTGATACTCTTTCAAATATTGATAAACATTTAAAACTCGTTTCTGAAAGTTCCTCATTGATGGTCACATTTGTATCAAATGATTTACAATCAAAAACTTCATTCAAGCTAGAAGTACTATCTAATTCATCTTCGACAAAGTCATCAACTTCCTTATAAGATATTATCGAAACATCATTATCGCTATTACAATCTTGTGCATCTGAAAACCGTGAGCATTTGTTTAAAGGATCATTAGAATAAATAGTATTCTTAATATTTGCATCATGTTTTTCTGACATCTCATCCCATGCATCCATAAAAGCGCAAACCTCTAAATCAGTTACAGAATCAATACGTTTATTATTAAAGCTTATTTGTCCATCATTTTTTTCTTCAATAACTTCATTTAATTCATCGAATGATTTTTGTAAATCAATTAAATTCGGAATTGCTATATAGTAGCGTTATAGTTTCATCTAATTACGTGAGGAGGGTCATAATTAAAAAAAAAAATTTCGACCAAATTTTTCAATGGATGGTTTTTCTGGCGTTATTCCAAATTTTTTATCGCAGTTTGACTGCTACGGCCGATATCGCAAACCACACTTTTAACTTTAAAACCGGCTTCTTCAGAGAAATCTAAATCATTTAGAATTAAATTGCTTAGTTTTTTTCCAGGTACACAGTTATGGGCGACATAGTACTTAATAGATTGCCTCCAATCAGTTTGTCTACCTCTTAACATGAAAACTAAAACGTGATTACCTTCTGTTGGAGAGCGACCTAGTTCTCCCAAATATGTGAACCCCTCAACGATATCTTTTTTAGTATTATAATCTAGCCACTTTTTTATGCTCATTTCATCCCACGATAAAACACATTCCTTTTCTTTGGAGTGCATTAGCGACGATTTAATTTGTAATAATGTCAACAAAGTGTTACATTTACCGGGTTTTAAATCTAACTTATTAATCCAAATTCTAATGTTACTTACGCAATGGAAACTTAAAATGTTTTTTTTTCTCTCGAAGGTAGCAATACGCTTTTGGAGATCTATAAAATAAAGATATAGCATACTGTTTATCTTTTTCAGTCCATTTACTTTTCTGAATATGGTTAATTTGCCTAACTAAAAATACTTTTATTTCGTCATCAAGTTTATTAAATAATTTTTTTGAACTTTATTGCTTCGTTTGAAGCTTTTGTACGTTTATTTCATTTACGAGTTAAGTTGTATATAACATATATACTTGGTTTTTATACCTATTAATCACTTTGTTTTTAGATTTACTTTTTGCCTCATATTTGTTTACAATTTTATTTATTTTTAACTCTGATGTAGTTTTTTAATCGTTTTAATGCATCTTGTGCATTTTTAACTTCTTCATTTTTTTTTTATTTAATTGGATTTGGACTGAATTTTTCTGAATACAATTATCGCTTAAGTTAGGGTAGTTATTAGAAAATGAAGAAAAATTTTGGTCACAATTTGAAAAATCCAACGACGAAGACATGTGTGCATCATTTAGATTTTGACGGTATGGTTCACTTTTAAGTGATATAGGAATTTTGAGATTTAATTAAGAGTCATTACTGAATAAATATTTATTGTTAATTGTTGAATAAGAATTATCAGTTCTATTTTGCAAAGCTTCGAATATAGCAGAGGTTACCTCATTTTTAAGAATAGCTGTAGGTTTTAATATATTCTTACCGTTTTGGTTTATTGATTTTATATTGCTATCAGTAAAATGATAGCTGCAAAGAAATTTTTGACCAACTTGATTCTCTGTTAAATCTAGAAGAGTCGAATTTCCGGAATGTCGAACCCACAGATGACGTCTAGATAAAGTTATAATTTTTAAGTAGTAAATAATAAAAATAAACTTTTTATTTTTCTAATTGCGTTGTCCGAACAATATTTGATGTAATTGTACTATAATTACTCAGTATATTTTGACAAAGGTTCATTTAAAAATTAAATTAAAAGTTTCAAAAAATAATTTTTTTTGAAGCTTGGACAATTGTCATTCAGCCAGTCTCGATCAACAGAAGTTTATTTAAAGAATTTAAATATAATACAATTACAACGATAAACCTCAAATTACATCTTACAGACCTCATAATTAAAAATAATGGTCTGTATAGTCTATATTAGATATACGAATAAATAACACGTTTCGCCTAATACCTCAAATTAATGAAAAATGTAAATATTGCAATTATAAATCTGTATGGCAAAATAAGTTACTCAGATTTAATAATTGCATTTTTGCACACAAATTTAATATCCATACTTGTCAATACAATCGACATACATTTAATTTAATACTTTTTTTTATTTTATATACATACTTATATAACTATGAGAAATTCAGAATAATGTTATTTGCATCTAAATTCTACATTCTTTGTCAGTGAAAGGAAGGTAACGAAAAAGGTCTGTTGGCCAGATGTTGGGCACTTATACTGCTTATACCCTCTTGAATGGAAGTAGAGTAGGTACCTACATTTGGTATATATAATAAAATTTTAAAAGCATGTGAAGAACTATAAATTTGAAATAAAATTGTTTGAAATATAAATATTTTGTAAACAGAAATAGTTATTTTAAAATTATTTTCTTCTAAGAAATATGATAATAAGGAGCAATGTATCAAATTAAAATATATAACAGTGTTGTGTTTTAATTTTATGTTAGGATATTATATTAAAAACAGAGAAGAAATTATTAAATTTAGAAATTTTGGAAATATTTAACGATATAATTAATAAAATTCATCATTATCATCATTCTGTCTTTACAACTCTGCGTGGATTTTAGCCTTCTCATGAACTTCTTTCCAGTCGTTCCTATCCATTGCCTTTCTCCGCTAAGTAGGTACGTACAGAGAACTCGTTGTTATTCCATTAGGGTAGGTCCAACAAAACTACACAGTACAAAACGGAGAGATATTAA